AAAGCATGCAAGAAAAGGGGACCAAGGAGGGATATAACATGAAGTAGCATATGGAGGTCCCAAACCATGAAAGGCCCTTAATAAAACATGAAGAATGGACCAAAATAAGACTATTTATTTTGTACTGTAAAAAGACTAAAAACCGAAGCACAATAGGCTGCCAAAGCATGCAAGAAAATAGTATTTAAGGAAGACATTGAAGCAAGTGTCAATATGGGGGGCTCAAACAGGGTTGAGCCCTTAAGAAAAAGTGAAAAAGAGTTCAAAAGAAGGCCACTTTCAGTTTATGGCCGGAAGCTCAAAGCAAAGTAAGCATATATGGTTAAGAAATGTTTTTAAAATAAGCTCAAAAAGGGGAAATGGCAACTCACCCTTGTAGACCACTCTTTGGTTGCTTCTTGGACCAAGTTGCAGCACCTTTTGCCTCTGAGAAACCCTCCTTGATGCTGGAAATGGAATGGTGGTGATGGTGTTTGGTGTTGATGAAGAAATGAGGTGTAGAACTTGGATGTTTTTGAGAAAATGAGAGAGATAGAGGGAGATTTGGATGCAAGACTTGAAGACAATTTTTCTAACCCCCTATGCAAAGGCTTGGCAGCTGGTTATATGGAACAAAAAGAGGGTGTAAAGGTGGGGAAAAGGTGGGGGAAAATGAGGCAAGTTTTCCCCCAAAAAATATCCCCCGGATTGAGATATTTTCTGGGGGATACAGCTATACAGCTGTAAAGTGTGTGTTGCAAGGAACATGGCCGGCCACTTTTTGGGGTTGCAGGTGGCCGGCCGGCCACCCCCCCTAGTTGGAAAAAGATGAAAAAGAGTTACGAAAAACAGGCAAGTTCAAGGCTGAAGAACTAGAAGCCCTGGAAGAAGAAGCAGAAGCCTCTGAACAACTCATGATGATGGAAACAATTGCAAGTGGAGAAGTCAAGGAAAAGAAGAAGAACATGTTGTATAATCTCTCTGTTGAACTTGAAATCCCAGGCGTACAGAAGAAGATTGTTCTCAACGCTATCCTTGATACTGGAGCCACCACGTGTGTCGTGGATTCAGAGTCCGTTCCATCAGAGGCACTAGAAGAAAATACCTACACTGTGCAGTTTAACGGGATTAACTCACAGTCAAAGGCAAATAAAAAGCTTCGAGGAGGAAAAATGTATATCGGAGACAACTGGTTCCGAATACCGTATACATACAGCTTTCCATTTCGACTAGGTGGAAGAATACAGATGATCATTGGCTGCAATTTCATCAGATCAATGTATGGCGGAGTTCGGATAGAAGGAGACAATGTCACATTTTACAAGAATGTGATAACAATCCAGACTCGTCAATCTGTCAATCCCATGGAAGCTGAAGTTGATGATGATTTCCTCATCGATCATTACTATGATCCCACAGAAGAATGGATATTTCACTCTATTGAGCATAATCCTCATGCTCCCAGATTTGAAGATAAATATCCAAAGGTGATGAAACATTTGCAAAACTGTGGAATTATTGGGGAAGATCCTATGAAGCAATGGTCGAAGAACCAAATTACATGCAAATTGGACTTGAAGAATGCAGAATTCGTCATTGACGATAAGCCCATGAAGCATGTTACTCCAGCCATGAAAGAAAGCTTCAAGAAGCACATTGATCAGCTACTGGAGTTAAAGGTTATCCGTGCAAGTAAAAGCAGGCATCGAACTACTGCTTTTATTGTCAATTCAGGAACTTATATTGATCCAATTACAAAGAAGGAGAAGCGAGGAAAGGAGCGTATGGTTTGTAATTACAAACGGCTCAACGATAATACTCATAAGGATCAGTATAGCTTGCCCGGAATTAACACAATTATGGCAAAGATCGGCCACAGCAAAATCTACTCTAAGTTCGATCTGAAGAGTGGATTTCACCAAGTTGCAATGCACCCAGACTCAATCGAGTGGACAGCTTTTTGGACACCATTGGGACTCTATGAATGGCTAGTGATGCCATTTGGTTTAAAGAATGCCCCGGCTGTGTTTCAAAGAAAAATGGACGTCTGCTTCAAAGGAACGGAGGAGTTCATCGCTGTTTATATTGATGATATTCTTGTACGGCTAGGGGTCAAAAGGGTCAACTTGCTTTAGTGGCCGGCCACCACAAAAAGGTGGCCTCCCAGGTCTCCTCTTCACAACCCTGTGGTTCGAATTTGGAAACTCTAAAACAGGAGAGAGAACAACCCATTTTTAGGAGGGGTTCAAAAGGGTCAGGTGACATTAGTGGCCGGCCACCAACTTTTAGGATCCTCTCAAGTATGTACAACACAAATATGTAGTTTGGGGTTGAAGAAAGTGACCCCAAGGTGTTCAACATTGACTCGGAAGTGAGAAAAACGGGCGCCGGAGGGCGAAAATGGAATATAACTGGTTACTAAGATCATTGCTGGCCTCCCACCCTTCTACGGCCTTCCTGGTGATGAAACAGAGGCACCTGCCAAAAATGAACGAAAATCGATGCAAAACGAATGCTCGGGGGCTAAAACACGCAGTTTGGGGTCCCGAAAATGGGCTGTAAAGCACCGAAAGTGGCATTCGGCCACGAAGTGGGTTTCTCAGACCCCAGTGTCCCTCAAAAAGGGAGAAAATAAGCTGTATGCCAAAAATCAGAGCGAACGGAGATGGTTAGGCGGTCCCGAACCGAGGCACACGGCCAACGGTCCCAAAAAACCGGAAACCGGACTCCGAAATGGGCAAAATGGCCTACGGCCACAAAATGTAGCCCACGGCCACTGAGAGATGGTCTACGGGACCTCTCCCTCCCCTCAGGAAAAGAAAATACAGAAAACCGAGTCTGGTTCGCAAACCGAGGCAAGGCACCGAAGAGGGTTCGGAAGTCCGGAGGCAGGGCTCACGGCCGCGACTCTGAAACTTCTGAACGAGCACATTATGCAACATCACCAAGCGCTCAATCGGTGACGTCTGAGTCTTAAGGTCGGTCAAAAATGGGGTGTCTACACCTATATGCCGGTATTTACATGCAAGTATTCCAATCATTTGGACACTTATAATAACTAATGTGTTTGATTTATATTAACAACATTTATATTTTACAATTACAGGAGCAGATGACGACGATGCGGGATGTGTCTATTGAGTCTGGTATACCGATGACGCAAGAGGACATATCAACAGCGGTTCTTGGGAAGAAGAAGGGATACTTAAGAGGATTTGGGGTCGGACCAAAGCTCTCATTCTATGATTCTGGGTTGAATGTTGCATCACAAGCATGTGACGAGCAATTGAAAAGGCTTACATATGAATTGGAGATACTCCGTGAGGAGCAGCAGAGAGGTTGTGAGGAGCAGAAAAAAAAAAAAAGTGAAGCAACAAATAAAAGAGGCAGACAATGCAAGACAACATGGGGAGATGCAGAGGCAAATTTTTAGACTTTTGAGCATGTTAGCACAACTTTTCAAAAATGGTGGCCACCAAATTCCCCACCATAGCTAGCCATGGTAATGGGTAAGTGTGTTAAACCAGATTTCATTATATTTATGTTGAAAGTAAAGGCAAACAAACTTGTGATGATAATATTAGAGAAAAAAATGTGAGGAAAAAAGGGAAAAAGGGACCATTCGGGAGCAAAAAATGGAAACAACCCTCAAATAGCCTCGAGATTGCAATGGTCACCTCACCGTAGATTAAAGAAACTTGTGAGAGCAAGAGACATATCGATAGGATGCACGGTTAGATATTTGGACAAAAAAATATGAGGAAAAAACGCAAAAACGGGTCGTTTGGGGGCCAAACCTGGAAATAGTCCCCAAACATCTCGGAGATCATCACGGTCACCTCAGACTAGATTAAAGAAACTTGTGAGACCAAGTGGCATGTCTCTAGGACATACGATTAGATATTTAGACCCAAAAAAAAATGTGATGAAAAAAGGCAAAAATGGCCCGCTTGGGGGAAAAAATTGGAAATAGCCTCAAAACACCCCCAAGATCATAGCAGTCACCTTAGACTAGATTAAAGAAACTTGTGAGAGCAGGCGGCTCATTGATCAAATGCACGGTTAGATATTTAGACAAAAAAAAAAAATGTGAGGAAAAAAGGCAAAAACGGGCCGTTTGGGGGCAAAAAATGGAAATAGCCCCCAAACATCCCTGAGATCATCATGGTCACCTTGGATTAGATTAAAAAAACTTGTGAGAGCAAGCGGCGTATCGATAGGACGCACGGTTAGATATTTAGACAAAAAAATGTGATGAAAAAAAGGCAAAAACGAGCTGTTTGGGGCCAAAAATTGGAAACAGCCTTTAAACACCCCCGTGATCATAACAGTCACCTCGGACTAGATTAAAGAAACTTGTGAGAGCAAGTGGCACGTCGATAGGATGCACGGTTAGATATTTAGACAAACAAATGTGATGAAAAAGGCAAAAATGAGCCGTTTGGGGGTAATAATTGCAAATAGCCTTGAAACAGCCCCGAGATCATAACGGTCAGCTCAGCCTAGATGAAACAAACTTGTGAGAGCATGCGGCATGTCGATAGGATGCATGGTTAGAGATTTATGCAAGAAATGCTGCATGAACAAGGCGAAAACGGGTCGTTTGGAGGCAAAAAATGACATATCGACGGTAAACCTCTAATGCAACAGACTTTTTGTGGCAACCTTATCTAGGAAAGGTATGCTTTCGGCTTCACAGGGATGCAATAGATGCAGAAATAGGAGTTATGGTCAGTAGTGAATAAAGTGCATTCACAAAATTACCATATTGCAAAAGGCTACATATATTTTCAATTACCTTGTTTTCATAGTCCACTGTATTTCTATTCATGTCTTACACTCTTACTGCATCAAACTCTAATTTATGACTTTTATGTGTTAAGATTTTCCTATTATGCCAAAGTTCATAAGTCGTCCAAATTTTAACATAAAAAGGTGCAATAATTAGGCTTCTCCTAATGTGAATGGCATAAAATATGCCAAATGGTGGAGTCATGTCTTGATTACTGTAAAACGTTTTTTCCTTTTATTTTTCGTGTTTTTCAAAAAGTGAAGAAATAAAAAAATAGAAGAATTTTTCAATCGAAGTGTGTTCAATTTGTATTGTATTGGTTATTGTATATTATGTGGGTCTTTGATGCATTAACCATGGGATGCATACTACTGATACATATCAATTTACTTCTAAAACTTATTACATCATATATAACAAATGATAAGTAGCAAAATATTGACACTTTTGGAATCACACCATATGTATGTTTCTTCCCATGTGTGGTTACGCATGGTCTGATTCAACAAGCTTTCCTTTTACTTTTGTTGCTAAACACTGAAATATAGAAATCTCTCTTCTCGTTTGAATGGTTTGCTCTTCTACCCATCATTGGCTATATTTACCCCTGTTTTGTAAACTTAAGTCTTTAGGTTCTTTCTTTCGTTAAACAATTCAATATTTGTAGAATTTAATTTGAGCCTTAGCTTTCAAATTAACTAGTCAACAAATATTATTTTCATATTCTAAGCTAAACCTTATCTACCATTCAGATTTACTGGAATGGTATGATGTTGATTGGTTTTGTTCTTCACTATGTTTCTAAGTATTGAGCAAACAAGCTCTATACACCCTACTTGCCTTGAGTTCAAAGTAGCTCGAGCCAACAACAAAACACCACCTTTTCCACATAGTTCCCAAAACAGTAACTGTAGACACCCCATTTTTTACCGACTTTAAGACTCTAACGTCATCGTTTGTGCACGCAATGATTGCACATGTTTGTGCTTGTTTCGAGCGCCCAAAGTTCTCATCAAGTGCCTTGTCTTTGAGTCTCTTAACACTTTGTGTTTTGGCCTTCGTTTTTGGGCCAAACCTTATTGCCTCTTGCCTGAGGGAGGGAAAAGGGCTGCCGGCCACTTGTGGCACTTGCCGGCCACTTTTCTCCCTTGTAGGCCACTTGGAGTGGCTGGCCGGCTAGGGGAGGTGGTCGGCCACCTTAACTGGCCGATGGCCAATTTTCTCTTTCCTTAGATATTTCCAGATATTTTGAGCCAACTGTTGGGCATTGAAGCTATCCTCCATACACGTGTATGAAGGGATTGAAACAAGCTTTTAGCTTGTCAAGCAAGCCTTTGCTTGCATTTTTCTATATAAGGGGAGGTGTCTCCCCCTTTACAGAGGTTCTGAAATTTTGGAGACGAAATTTCCCTCCCTCTCTCTCTCTCTCTTTCTATTGCTTGAAAGTGAGTTTTCTTTGCATTTTTGCCCATAACCCCCTTAGCCAAACACTACCACCTTGTTGCTGAGGTGCTTGAGGGTTTTATTTGGGCTACTGAAGGTTGGTTTTTGGCTCAGAAGCTGCTGTTCTTCAAGGGTAAGCTTTTTTCCCTTTTAAGCTTGTTTTTGTACAATAGTTTGGGCTACCTTTGCATGCTGTTTTGGCCTAGTTGTCAACTACAAAAATCTCTACTTTTAAGTGTTAAAAGTGGCTGTTTGAGGCCCTGTGGGAGTTGGGGGTGTTTCACCCCCTTGTGTGCCTTATTTGCTTAAGCCTTGTACTATCTCTTAAGGCTTTTGAGGCACTCTTTGTTTGGCCTTTCTACCACTGAAACTTAGAGAAATTTTAGTGGTAGCAACCATGTTTTGAGGTCCAAAGTAGGAGGGGGTGGCCTCCCCTCTTTGCTTCTTGGTTGCATGTCTTGTTGGCCTCATACTTTGGCATGTTTTTCTACTATTTCGTGACTTAGCTCAAGCATGATTTTGTGAATTTTTGGACCTGTCATAACTCTGTTTATGGTTGGCTTGGCCACTTCTTGCATGCTTCTTACACTTGTAGTGTAATCTTGCCCACTAGCCTAGTGTACTTGATGTTTTGGCTCATCATTCTAGCATGTGTTAGCTTGACTCCAGCATGTTTTTGGCCTTTATTTAATATGCTCTAGCTCTGTTTTGAATAGCTTTGGTCATGCATGCCTTGCTTTGTATAGCTATGGTGTTGTTGGCCCTTACTAGCTTTGAGTTTTAAGGCCCTTGACATGCTTTACTTGAGTTATTTGCATGCCTTAGCATCATTCCACACATGATTTCAGTGCATGTAACCTTGTCACACTCTCACATATATCACTCTTTAAGTGTGTTTAAGAGTTGAGCTTTATGCCTTTTTTGTGGCCTAACATGTATGCATGTTTGTCTAGTCCTTTAAGCTTCAATTTCAGCATGTCTTGGCCTTTGATTTGGCATGATTGAGCTCTGTCCAAAGCTGGTTTGGCTGTTTAGGCCATGTATCGCATGCCTCTTGTGTGAATGCCTTAACTAGCTTTGAGTTTTAGGGCCTCTTGCATGCTATACTTGTGTTGTTTGCATGATATGTCATCATTTGGCATATGATTTCAGTGTTTGTACCTCTATCATGTTCTCATATATATCACTCTTTCAATGTGTTTGAAAGTTAAGCTTTGTGCCTTGCTTGCGAGCGAATGAATGAGCATGCATTTCTTGCTTTTTGTGCTTAAGTTTTAGTGTGTTTTGGCCACTATTTTGGAGTATCTTAGGTCTGTCCATAGCTGGTTTGACCATTTGAGATTGATAGTGCATGCCTCGTGTAATATTCTTCACTTGCTTTAGTGCTCTTGGCTCCCTTTAACATGTCTTGCATGCATTGCTTACATGATTGAGTCTTGTGCATGCCGCTTTAGCATTGAAAGATAAGCATGTTGATTGCATTGCACTGTGTTTGGGTCAGACGTTAATCCAAACACAAGAAATGTGGCATGTTTCATGCTCAAAGTGGTGAAACGTGTTATGTTTCTCGGTTGCTGACCCTCTTGACCATGCATGATAGAGGTGAAGGCTCTTATGTGTTGTTTGTGCATTCACTAACATTGTGCAAGCTTGACTCTTCGGCCATCATGCATTGAGATACATGGTTGGTGGCTTGAGAGCCGAGTACTATGCTCCTTTGAGCTTGAGAAATGATAAGGAGAGTAGTTGCACACATATTCCCATGCAAATGCATTGTTGTGCCTTTGTTGATCTCTGTTGCAGCAAAGTTGGGATTTTGGAAAGGGAAGTGGCCGGCCGGTCACTTGCACTAGCCTGCCGACCACTTGTACTGCCGGCCATTTTAACTGCTTTACTTAGTTAGTTAATTTGCCGATTTTTGTAATTAATTAGTTAATGTGTTTAGCTAATTTAATTCATCTTTGTAATATTCTAATTAGCTTACCATAGCTAGTTTTAATTCGGTTTGTAATTAATTAGCTTAGCATAATTAATTAGTTGATTTGTAATAAGTAGCTTAGCTTAGCTTTTATTTATTCGGACCCTCCTGTGACAGGGTGTATTATTGTAATAAGTGCGTGTGTGTGTGCATGTCTTCCAACTCCATTTTTTTCTTCATTTTACTTACCCGTTTTCGATGGTTAGTTTAGGGCATATTTCAATTAGCATACCTTATGTTTGCATGCGTGCATCCATTCATTCGTCTTGCATGCACCGGGCGCATCATTCAAATTGCATCGTATTTCAATATACTTACTTGAATACGTGTTTCAAAGCATGTTATCAAGTGTTGCATTCATATGCCATTTTAGATAGCCGAGCCTATTTTAGTTGCATTATTGCATATGTTGCATTAGGCATTGTTAACATAGTTAGGATCATGCATGATTTCTAACTAGTTTTCTGTTTTGGCTCGGAGTACACTGTAAGTGTTTACGCTTTAGCATCCTTGCATGAGTGTAAGTGTTTACTATGACAGCATGCTTGCCATGAGGTTATTTGCTTAAATGTTTAACTGCATGAATGCCTATGGATGGAGGCTTGATTGTTTGAATTGGAACAATTCATCAAATGTATGTTTTAAGCCCACTTTGCAGAGTGGCAAATCATGTTGTTTTAAGCCTACTTGAGGGTGGCAAATCCGCGCTTGAGCCTACTTGCGAGTAGCACCTTCAAACTATTTTAAAAAATGAACATGAATTGTTTTTTTCCAATTCTCGTGATTGAGTCTATACTTGTGTGTTGTGCGCATCACATAGTAAGTTAGCTAATAATCAAACAAGAACACATGTGTTTTCAAAACAACATATCATGCTTAGTAAAAGCCGATCTTTGATCGGGCGAGCGGGGGTGCTTATTTCAGGACCTTCCCCTCTCGTACCCAAGTTCCCGAGCCGAGGCAACGTCGGTGATGACAGACACGTGGCCTTAGACACGAGTCAGGGTTTCCTAAATTTCCCAAACATAAAATATTTAGGTGGCGACTCTGAAATCTGGCAAAACAGTCAATGTTTGGCACTTTTGATTCAAAATTGATTTTCAAAACCAATTGCCGGATTTGGACTCTTTGGTGATTTATCAGTCTTACGTTGCACTTTGTGAGATTAGATTCAGAATCATGACAGGAGTCCGAACTGTAGTAGCTAGAACCCAATTTGCACCTCTTCGAAAGGGGGCGCGCAGAGGGAGTATCGGGCGGTCTACAGTACCAAAAATAGACATTTCTTTAAAGAACAATAAAAAGAAGCCTTATTTGAGTAAAGATCACAGCTGAAAAAAGTCAGCAGATGAGGCCAATGCGGTTGGTATTAACACTAGATGACACACAACATTGAAAATGATGATATTGTTAGAATTGTAATGTTGAGTGGACATGTACATATGAATGTTGTTTTATTTAAAAAATGGTATTGATAGTCATTTAATTTGTTCATGTTACCTTTACTTTCTATGGACATTTTTCATTTTTTTTGTCCAATTTTACAATCATTTGATGTGCAAATATTTCACTATACCAAAAAATTACCTGACATTATTTATCTTTTTCTTTGGTACAGATGGATGAACTCGTGCACAAAGCTGAATTGTATAGGACTAGTTGGCACTTGTTATATTTTTTGAAAGAGTATATATTTTTGGATAGATGTGTATGGAAAATATTTGGGTAGACTAGTAGTTATATTTTTAGATGAATGTGTATCGAAAATATTTGGGTAGACTACTAGTTGTATTTTTTGATAGATGCGCATGGATAAAAATTGAAAACATAATAGTAGGTATTTGTTATTTTTTAATTTTTCATGCTAGATAGATGTGAATGGAATGATTATATAGATTGTTAGCGGATTTATAATTGGAGGAATATGTAGTTTGGAATTACTTCTGGATGACAACTTATAATAGTTGATGATTTCAATGAAACAGATTCAGGATTGGATGATTTATGTATTTTGTTGAATGTTCATGATTTAGTTGATTTTGTTGGTTTGAATAATTCTTGGAAATTAAAGATTAAATTGAATGAATTGGATGGATTTGATGGATTATTATAAATTACAAGTTTATTTTGTTGGATGTTGATGACCAAATTTTGGTTTTGATTTTCCTCTTTTGGTGACCAAGTGATTAGTCGTGAAAGATATGTAATTCTTTTGCCGACTAAATAAGGTAGTCGGTGTATCACCACTCACATTTGGCGACCAAAATATTGGTAGCGAGAGGGTACAGTAAAATTATTAATTTTGGCAACCAAAGGGTTTGGTCGCTAATAGGTTTATCGCCGACTAAAGTTTTAGTTGCACAACTATTACTTTTAGCGACTAAAATGTTTGGTAGTGGCATGTGACTTTTGGTGACTAACATGTTTCGTTGTGGAATGTGACAATTGGTGATTAGCATATTTAGTCGAGAAAATATCACTTATGGCGACTAAACTGTTTTAGCTACAAAATGGTTTAGTCGTGATAAATATATATTTAGTGACCAAAAATTTAGTCGGCAAACAGAACATTTTTCTTGACTAAAAACTTTTTAGTCGCTAATTACTTTTCCCGACCCTTCATTGGCGAACAACATGGCAACCAAAAAATTTAGTCATAGAAAACTTTTGTCGACTAAAAATGGACTTTTGTCGGCTAAATTTTTGGTTAGTAGAAGTGCAATTTTCTTGTAGTGTCTGTGAATAATATTATTGTAATGTTATGTTCATAAATTAGTTTTGAAAACTTGATGCTATGTTATGGATTATGAAATCTTTTTTTTAATTCTAAATGAACGAATGTCCTGTATTTTGTATAAAATGTATAAATGGATCCTTAGATAATCCCAGCCATTGGGGGAATAGTCTAATCGTACCCGGGTTGATTATTCCATTAAGAGGCTCTAATGGATGTACCGTGTATCATGCTTTGTTTATGAATGTTTGAATGCTCTTGTAAATACGATATGAAGTGATCCTTTATTAATGAGCTCGGAATTTGTTCATTCACCACCTTACCATGATATTATTCATTGGGCTTGGCTCATTCTTTTATATATATATATATGAAGGTGACCAAGATGAGGAACGTCAATAGAGATCGTGGACTTGTTTGAAGAATTTTTTCTTTTACTTTTTATCCATGGATGTTTTTGACTTTTGGGAAACCGGCTACAAAATAGAGAGGGGAGAGTAAAAAAGAAAAGAGAAAAATATAGATAGAATAATGGTCTGATTGTAAGTATCCCTCTCTGATTTTATGGTTTATGAGTTATGATACTTTCCTTGATAGATTTTATGTATTAACTCAATTGCATAAATACCAGAAAAGCTTAAAAGATTTAGAATTTGAATATCCACCAGGAACGTTTCAACCCAATCATATTTGGGATACATTTGCACATTATAGGCATGCTATTTATTTTTACCAGAATATTTTAGATCAGTTATCAGTAGCATAAATAGTATATGAGATCATATATGTTGTAATTTGTGTTAATTATAATGCTAATACAAATAGTGTTATTCCTGGATATGTGCTAAATACATGTGATAAGCTTAAAATGAACAGGTGGGACATCATCGAAGTCAGGTAAGGAGATTTAGCCATTTTGCATTAAATTGCTAGGCATGTTATTCCTATAAATTGTTGACAGACGTACTTGTTTAGAATAGAGTTTAGCACACCTATTTGGTAAATTTTGTATATATATAGATGTAGGTGATCAGGAGAAGGACCCTCAATAGAGGTCGTGGACTCGTTTGAAGAGTCTTTTTCTTTTACTTTATCTATGGATGATTTTGACTTTTGGGAGACAAGTTTTGGTTTTATGTGATAAGTAGTAAGGTTTTGTACTTATGAATGTAAATTTTATACTTTTCTTTTGTCTATGTACATAATGTAAATTATTCAAAAGATAAGCAATAAAAGGTTGTATGTTCATTTCATATTACTTATGCACTGCTCTATGGACTTAATGGATTAATGATAAAAAATTTCCACATTTGAGTCCTATATGTATCTTAGTCCTTTTGTGATTTTGTCAAGTTAGGCATTTGGTAATCAGGGATTACTAGTCGATCACCTCACTATCCTGTAGGGGCGGGATGGGGTCGTGACAGAATTGATCAATATGAGTAGTATATGCTTTCTCCATCCATTAACACACGGGTGATAAAAGCAAATCTAATTACTTCTTACCGGAGATACTGAATAACCAATAAGCAGATATATCTAACAAACCTCATCTGTAATGAATGCATGACTGCAATCCATTAATAATGCACTACTAGACTTACGACAATAAGTAGAAACATAATCCTTCAAAGAAAAAAAAAACAAAACAAAAATGTCAAAAAAAAAAAAAAAGAAGAAATATTTGGCAGTAAGTTACTGGACATGGACTTTTTGTTTGGTAGTAGGTTACTGAACAAGTATTTTTTGTTCAACAGTGAGTTGCTGGATATGTATTTTATGTTCGGTAGCGTGGTTTTGGGCTGTTTGATTTTTTTGGTTTTGGTATACCGAACAAATGTCGAACAACCCTCTTTAAAAAGTAAACGAAAACGTAAAAAATAAAGAAAAAAAACTCATTATTTCACTTTTTTGCTGGTCTTTCACCACCATTTCTTCATCTATTGCTTTCTTTTATGATCAAAACACCATGATTCTCACTTTTTGAAAGTAAATGTATAGTAGAGAAGAAGAAATAAGAAATGAAGAATTGAAGTAGAAATTAAAGTGTAATGGGTCTAAAGAGAAAATCAAATCTATTTAATTTTTGTCTTTTGTCCTTAAAGGTAATTTCACACATGGATAAAATTAAAAGAAAAAAAAGTTCTCAAATGGATGATGTAAAGAGGTAAGGGAAATTGAACAACACCAGTGTGAAGGGGTTTGACAGTAACGGACGATGTGGAGGGCCTTGAGCCTCATTGTCACTATCATTCTTATCAAACTCTAATTCATCATCCCAAGTGATAGCAAAAGCTTTCTTCTTCCTCAAATGACTAGGGCATTCTTGAGCAAAGTGACCAAAACCTTGGCATTCATAGCATTGGACTATTTGAGGTATCACTTATATTTCTCCTTTCTTCTTCTCCATTTTAGGATCAATTTTGAGTTTCTTTTTTCCCTTGGATTCATGAGTTGATTCCACAAGATTAGGTTTCATTTTTCTAAAAGACTTCTTAAATTGTTTTACAAAAGCATCCGTAATCTTTGAATCAAACTCACAATCCTCATCGAAATCCTTTCCAACTTTATGAGCACTATTAAATTGTCTACATCTTAAGCTTTATCAATAGCCACAACTTTTGATTGAAACCGATCGGGTAAGGGCCTCAAAAATTTTCCCACAATTTTGGACTCCGGTATTTTCGTACCTAAATTGAAGCTAGAATTTATAATGTCACCCAACTTCGCATAAAATTCATCAAAGGTCTCACTATTTTTCATGAAAAGGTTTTTGAAACTCAAAGTAAGCCTTTGAAGTTTTGAACGTTTAACTGAAGGAGTGCCCTCATGAATAGTTTGTAAGATATCCCAAGCCTCTTTTGCAACTTCACAATTACAGATATGACTAAACTCTTTGGGTGTGATGGCTCAAAAGAGAGAATTGATAGCTTTACTATTCTAGCTACTATTTTGGTAATTAGTTGTGTCTCATTTATCAACTGGTTTTGGGAATATTACTCCATCAATGGTAATTGTTGGTTCGGTCCACCCACACACAACGGATTGCCAAACTTTTTCATTAATAGATTTCAAAAACACTCACATCCGAGCTTTCTAAAATGGATAATTAAATCCATCAAGTAGAGGTGGTCTTACCATAGAATTTCCTTCACAAATTGAATCCATTATCATAAATCAAACAATATCTCACTCCTAAAGTTTTTAAAAAAAAATTGAGCAACCTAATTTGATACTAATTGAAAAATCTAAATCCCCAAGATATTGATTCATGATTATGTTTCAATTTTAAATAGTGAATAACAATCCTAATCAAACAATCAAAGACAAATTAACATAATGATTTAACGTGAAAAAAAAAATCACAATTGGAACACCTCTAATTGTGATAAAAAATCACGAACCAAAGCCACAAAACAATCCACTAAGAAGACAAAAAAGAATTACACATGTATACCCTCAATTACCTAGCGAATCCACGCCTGAATTGAACCGACCCCAATGTGCCTCTTCCACCACCTTCTTCTCTTCGAAATTGTCTTGACCAATGTTGAATCCACAATCCACGACGACGAGCCACTTCGGAATCGACCAAAACTTCAGGCCCAAAATTTTCAGAATCCACCGAAAAACACCTTTCTCTTTTGGGAACAAACAAAAATAAGAACAACCCTTGATGTTTGACAATTTGTAGTTCGTTGATCAATCAATCACCTTCTATACACCAAGGAAATACATATGAAACACCTTCCAATAGAAAGCACTTTTTCTTTTCTCTCTCTAAGATTATAGATGGCTTAAACCCTAAAACCAGCAAATTGTGCACTTTACAGTAAATTGAATCACGAATACCGCTCGAGCAACCACTTCATTGCTTGAGCAAACTCAATAAAATATGTGGCCATCGCTCAATCTAAGACCCCACTGCTCGAGCGCAAAACAAATTCTCTCAGAAGTTTAGTCTGCTCTGCAAAAATAGTAGATAATGTCATTCATTGGTCGAGCGCACAAATGACCGCTTAAAGCGGTCAAACAACTTTGGCTTCAGGGGCACTGCCCCACACCTGCCATGGGACACTGTCCTCTGGACCCCCACAAGCTGACCAATCAACTCGATCGCCATACATAGGCAGTGAAATGGCAATCATGAAAGACTCAAGATCACAAATCATCTGCATAGACACAATTTGGGTTGGATTCGCATCTAAACACTCACATCTTCACTGAAACAATAGAGTGAATAAAATTACAACTGAAAAGAGTTTTG